AAAAAAAATACAGCCAATTTCTTCTGCTGAGTGCCGAACTTTGTGTCGGTGCATTCATGTGTTTCAGTACAAAAAATTTGTAGTCCTGGTTGAGAAATGTATACAAAACAAGGTGGTATTCAATTTCAACATATTAATACAGAAAAGTAAAGCATGAAATAGACAAACAGATTTATTTTTTCAAAAAAAAAAGGACAAGGAAACTCGGTTGAATCTAATTTGAGGAAGAACCATGGAACTCATCTAGATGACATGAAACTTCTGAATGAGGTTCTCTCTCATTTTGCATCCCCAAATCAGTATTTAGTTTTGCAAGTTCTAATACAATTTCCGGTTGAGGTTCCCTTCCATTTTCCATCCCCAAATCGGAACTTCCAAGTTCCAACAAAGAAATAGTTGAAATAGGCTTCAAAAGCTGTTTTTGGCAGGCAACAAATTGTTGAGACACATATTTCATTGTTGGTCTAGACTTGGGTTTCGCACGCAAGCAAGCCAATGCAAGCATAGCAGCAACAACAATACTTTGGATAACATTTCTGCTTCTTGGAGGTGATAGACGTGTGTCCAATACATCACTTAGCATCACATTTTGCAAAGAATATGGTTTTGATAACAATGTCAACAGTTCTCTAGGATGCCTTCCCATTAGTACTTCCAATGCTACAACCCCAAAGCTATAAACATCACATTTCTCAGTCACAACCATTGTATAGGCAAGCTCTGCATAGGTAAATAACACATTTCACATGTCAATTTAATAGTAAATAGTGAAATAAGACAACAAAAGAAGAATGTTGTTATGTTGATAGAAAAAACCTGGGGCAATATAACCATAGGTGCCAGCAAGTGTGGTATGATTAGATGAATCAGGATCCAAAAGTCTAGCATTTCCAAAGTCAGAAACAAAAGCCTCTAACTCCGAGTTTAATAGAATGTTGTTGCTTGATATGTCCCGATGAAGGATGGGTGGGATACAGTCATGGTGAAGGTAGCACAAAGCATGTGCTGTGTTTTTTATGACATTCACTCTTTTCATCCAATCCAATTCCACAGCTTCAGCTTCATCTCTAAGAACGCAAAACAAGCTTCCTCTTTCCATGTATTCATAGATCAAAAACATGCACTGTCTATGCAAACAGAACCCATGAAGCTTGACGATGTTCTTATGTCGTATTTCTGTCAACATCTTAGCTTCATTCCTAAAGCTCCTATCAAAAGTGGGTACCTCTGATTCCCTCCGATGAAGTTTCTTTAAGGCAACTACTTTGCCATTTGGCAATTGTGCCTTGTAAACACTACCATAGCCACCAGTACCAATGCAATATCGAATGTCAAAGTCTTTAGTTGCTGCAATAATGTCTTCAAATGCAACCCTCCCATCAAAGTTCCATATTGAGAACATATCCCCATTTTTCATTGGAGTTAGAATTGCTTCCTTACTTTTAGCTCCATTTATTCTCCGAGAAAGTAACAACAATGCCAGAGATACCAAACTAAGAGAAATGGTGCTAAGAAGAATAATTTTAACACGTCTCAACACTTTGTTGCCATTTTCTCTATGTTGAGTGAAAGGAGAAGGCGGAGTAGTGGGGCTGCTAAAAGGATGACCGTATAAACCTGGGTTGTCCATAAAAGAGTTGTATGGAAAACCAAACAAATTTGGTGGGATTGGGCCTGTGAGATTATTGCAACTGAGATTCAAGTTTAGTAAATGCCCAAGTTGTGAAGGTATTGACCCTTTCAAATGATTTGAATCAAGATACAAACTGGTCAAATCGGTTAAATGACATAGAGTGGAAGGAATAGGACCAGTGAAATTGTTAGTACCAAGATTCAACAAAGATAGATGAGTCATAATTCCTATTTCAGAAGGAATGAAACCTTGTAAATTATTTGAACCAAGATTCAAATACTGCAAATTAGACAAATGAGATAGAGATGAAGGGATACGACCAGTTATTTTGTTTTTACTAAGATCCAATACCAACAGATTATATAGACTTCCTATATTTTGAGGGATAGAACCATCCAAATTATTTGAACGAAGATTCAAAACTGACAAATTGGACAAGAGACCTAAAGATGGAGGGATTTGACCTATTAAACTGTTTTCATAAAGATACAAACCCTGCAAATTGGACAAACGAGACAGAGATGAAGGAATAGGACCAGTTATTTTGTTATTACTAAGATCAAATTCCCACAAATTGGACAACCGAGACAAAGATGAAGGGATACGACCGGTTATTTTGTTATTACTAAGATC